TTTTTTTTTGTAAGAAATTGTGGAGAAGATTTATGACTTTCGTATAAAAGTTACCAGCCCACAAATCTCGCATTCCTGTTGATAGTTTCAAGATCTGATTATAGGTGAGCGATGTGTTTGTTGTCGGTACGAATGGAGGAAAATTGATAATATATACAATTTCGGACCAGCCAAGGGCTGAGGATGTGTGCAAACTGGTATATTATGACACCGAGCAAGGGATGTTGTGTTAGTTGGTGTTTTCTTATTGCAGTTGAAAACTCTCGCTCTACGCCATGCAGCGCCAATCATTCATGTGGATGTGATAATGGAGCCCGGAACAAGAGTAAGTGCTCAACTATTGCATCAGGCTATTCCAAACCTTGCATGTGATTTAGCAGGCGTCCTCAGCTCGCCTGATTATCTTCACTGAAGAGCAGGTCCGCAGTTTGTATCTGCCTAGTCTGAAACCTACACGGTATAAACTAAAGCTCACTAGCACTGAGGGACTGCGAATTCGGAAGGCATCAATCGTCACGCTGCATAATTCAACCGGTATGGAGTTCTCAGCAGAATATTGTTTTACAGTGGAGGTTGAGGTCTACTATAAATTTTACAGATCTCTCTAATTGCGAAAGTTTCGCGGCTATTGTAAACAACCACGGGGAAGTAGCTGTGTATTCATTATTGAATCCGCGAAAAAGTGGAAAATTCCAAGTAGTTAAGGTATGTTTAGTACATCAAGGCCTACAGTAGTTTGGACGTATACCACCTGAGAAGAACTGCTTTCATCCTATTGCAGAGCACTGATATCGCCGGTATATCGTCGATGTTGATCACACCATACGGTGAACTGCTGTTTTTGAGACAAGGGGGTTCCGAGTTGCAACGTGCCACTATTTCCGAACATTCGTTGCCGTGGACCGTTCCTTGTCAAGGGAAAACGTGGCCTGAACCTGTTACCTCGCGTTCGGAATCCCTCACTTAAGGTAAAAGAATGTGTTCAGTGCACCTCATCAGAGTGAACCTTAACAGTTGAGCTATGCCTCTGTGCCTTTATGCGAAGACATCTCTTCTCCAAATGTCTAGTTTGGCGTTTGACCCAGCTTTTGTTTTTCGCAGCTGAAGTTGAGCATTAATGCAAATTTCATTACTCCTTGATGGAAGTCAGAGTGACTTGTTTAAGGTGGTAATGACAGGGCGACGCCTTAATATCTTTCTGCAAAAAATTTCGTGCCTACACCGCCACTACTCTTATAGAAAACTCTGGCTCACTACTCACCTGCATCCTTATCCCTCTTCTGGTCCGGTTTCCCACATTGTGGCTGTAAAACAGCGGTTCTTTTTTCATATTGCATGTGCAGTTCACTTCTCTTAGGAGTATAACCATTGTTGGCTATGTACGATTATAATTGTTGAAATATGTATCAGTTTGTTAATTGGCGACTATATCCATTGTTTTCAAACGCAGGTTCAAAAATATCTCTGCATACTATGGGCACTACTGTCACATTTCACTCGAGTTGATTGCAATTTTTGGCTTTATCGCGCGTTTTCTCTCTTTTCGTCTGTTTTTCATCGTTTGCCTGTCTGCTATGCATTTATGTAGCAGTGTCCGTATCTGCTGCATGTGTCCAACACTTATTCAAGCATCCTCTCACTTTTTGAGTACCCTCTTTTATTGCTGTGAAATATGTGATATATCTCTTACAATGAAATTGTGATATACGACCAAGGCCAAATCCATAAAATAAACAGTAAGATCAGTTCAAATTGACACAGGGAAAACGCGGACACAAAATTTACTACTATAGATGAGATGAGCTTTGAAGATCTGGGAAAAATCACATCATGGCGAGTCGAAGCGAGCAGGACGTGGGGCTACTGCTGCGACTTTTTGTCCCATGTAGCGCTCGAGGAATTCCGAGTGTTTTTTGAGCACCGTTCGCACGCTTTCGTTTCTGAATAGCGATGTGCTTGAGGAAATGTCATTTTTGAAGGTATTATAGTAGTAAACCGCAAGATATGAGGAATAAAAGACAAGCTTTATATTTGAAAGAAAAAAGGGTTATAGTGTCATTTATGACAGGCATATCCAACGTGGTGCGGCGCCAAGAAGCGGGAGAATTCAAAATAGACGCATTTTGTGCTAGTCCTGAACAACGGACTCTTCAGGTAACAACATTTATGTTATGGTCTTTGCATGGGCTAATCTCAAATTGGTATGATCTCATTTCTTATTATCATCTCAAACTTGTCTCCACATCCACACACCTTGCTGGGTATCAGTGGTTAGAAAAAACTCACTGTGCAGGAACGTCTTTTCCGACCTGAGTGAGTGCAAAGTCTTGCTCGAGATCCGCAGTAGGTCGCTCGAAGCTTTGTCCCTGAAAAGTCCCGCATTAAATAAGCTTCTATTTCTATCGCTTCGAAAAA